TCCAAGTCGCTTGTGGCCTTTTATTTTATAAATGAAGGAACTGAGATCCAAAGAGGTTAAGCACATAGGATCTTGGTCTATTACTTCCTAGTACTAAGTTGTGCTACCAAACAATGAAACACTCTCTTGCTGGGACTGCAGAACTCAAATGATTCCACTGCTAATTCCTGCTTCCATGTTTCACTCCTTCTCTAACTCTTACAAAGACCCCAGCTACTTGCAGGGAGGGGGTGTGGGGATTAGGGTGCAAGGGGACAAGGTAGGCTCTACCTCAGCCCCCTCCAGCCTGCACACTCATATCCTGTCATCATCTGAAACTTCTCCATGACTGATGTTTCTCTCCACAACTACAATACCCCATCCTCCCAGATGGCTTACTCAATCATGCCCAGTATAAGTCTTCAACATTAATGGATCCTTTGGACCCTCTCCATTTTCCCTATTCACTCACTCCTTTCCTTCTTTGCCTCCAATCCACCTCAGACTCCATGTCCCATCATTTTAATCACTCTTGCCAAAATCCTAAACCTCCTTAGTCCCTCTATACCTGGCAAAAACCTAAGCCTGCATAAATGTGACATCCCAACTTCTTCATACCTCAGACATCTGAGAACTGCAGGAGAAAACTCCCTAAACAAGCAGATGGTTCCACCATAAGCCTAGCCATCAACTGCTTGCTGAATGATTCTACTACCAATGATTCTACTACCTTTCTCTAACCTAACTGCTGTGACTCTTCACAACAATAATTTCAAACCTGCACTCTCCACAAATCTTCACTCCCTAAGCAGCTGGCCTTGCCTGGTAGTCACCAGACAAGAACTCTCTCCCCCACAATCTGAATCTTCCTTTGCACCTATCCTTCCTTTCTCTTGTTAAAGGCGGAAGGGATACTATTTCTTTTTTTTTTTTTTTTTCTCCCCCTGTAACTTACGAGGGTGCAGGGATGTCTTCCCAGATGTGGTCCCCTTGTAAGGTCTTTTTTTTTTACATCTTTATTGGAGTATAATTGCTTTACAATGGTGTGTTAGTTTCTGCTTTATAACAAAGTGAATTAGTTATACATATACATATGTTCCCATATCTCTTCCCTCTTGCGTCTCCCTCCC